ATGTACATGTAAAACTAGTGACAGTAAAGTACTATCTGCTATACTGTTCTGCCTTCTCTTCCTAACACGCAACTGGGGGACATAACCAGTGTTGACGCAGGAAAACACAAGGTTACAACACAGGCATAACATTTGGCCGAATCCTGTGTTACTGAATACGTGTATCTACTGTTGAGGTGGATATATTGTTTATTCTTAACCGTTTATTTAATAGTACCGTATTCTACCAATTGATTATCATTGGGAATTGAAGTATGCAGTATTGCGGGACACTGAGTCCAAAAATACTCGAACAAGCACTTTAAAACAAAAAACGCTTCGTGTGCGGGACATCCAACTACAATGTATACATGGAGATGACGAAGAAAACAGTACCTTGGCGGCCACGTGTGGTGCGCTATTATACTCGTAGAAAAAATCATACTGCACTCAAAAGTTCACTAGTATGCAATAAAACATACCACAGTAACTAGAATGCGGCTCTGTGCCAGCAGGTGTCGGAGTCGACTGCCAGTGGCGATTCTTAACGGCACAACACTGCGGTTCGTGCTCAATGTCGCAGTTGGTATGGGCCTTGCCGCCTTCCTTGTCTGGCACCACGGACATGGCTGAAATAGCAATCTGTAATTGGGGGAAGTAAAGGAAGTTTGCGCAAAGTAATGGTTTTTGGGCAAACAGCGGGTTCGTACATGTTAAGAAAATGCCTTTACCTCCATGGACTTACTCTAGCCCAAAAACTATGTCATTTGAAAAGGCGGATTACCGGTGCCAGTATATCCGATATTATAAAACATCATGCCTACTTAATTAGTTTAAGTAAGCATGTTAACAGGACAAAGTCTGATAACTAAAAAAGTGTCTTATCGCCTCCATTTCTACGTTTGTTATGGTTTCCCTCAGAACGAAGGGGTGCTGGGAAATTACGACACTGGATTTTTGTCACCCATAGAAACCTATGGGCAACCAAATAAAGCCAAGGTGGCGTGTGTGGTGCCTACTCGGCTGGATAAAATGGCAACTTGCAAATCCACACCGGATGAGAAAGATGAAGAATTTGCTTAGGTTTTCTGTCGAAGAGATTTCAAATAAAATGGCGTAAGATATAGACGTTGATTACAGTTGAAAGCCACAATACGCATTTTTTAAACCACAACAATACTACCAGAGTGCGAATTATCAGCGGTTGTGCTCAGTCTTCATAAGAAAAAAATAAAAAATGCAACACTACATTAAGTCAACTAACGAAACATGTCAGCGTTAGACTACGACTTTAACTTATTCCTGGACGTAGAACGAACACAGATATCACGCCCTGCACGTACTTCAATAAAGATTCGTAATCAAAATATGACATTTTGAATGCAAGTGGTGATAAGGGAACATATATTAGAGAAAGGTCGCCTAAAGCTGTAAGTAGCTACACTATGTGAGGAAGAAAAAAAGGGATAAGTACAGAAAAAAACAACTAACCTGTGTGGAGACGTCCCACAGACGCAACCAACCACCACGATCGAGGCTAACAATATTCCTGCCGCGTTCGATAAAGTCAACGTCTACAACACCAGACCGATGTCCACCCGGTTCCGTGGATCCGGTGCCCCCAGCCCCACCAGCACCCGGTTTCAACGTCGCGGCGCATTCTCCGGTAAGGGCTGACCATATTTTCAACTGCATGTCTGCGCCACCCGTGACAACAACCAAACCAGAGGGGAAGAAGCGACAGCAGTAGACTTCACTGACATGTCCGGCGAAAGAGCGCTAAAAGAGGCAGTAAAAGAAAAAAACGGAGCAGTTTAACGTAAGTTAGTACTTAATGCAGGAGCGCCAATACTTCACATAATACTTAGGGTAACTTATGACTATTAGGAGGATTTGACACATTTAAGTAATTCAGTTAACCTAGTTGTGAAAAAAACTCACCGCCTCGATGAGAGTAGAGCCCACACAGCAGGGACGGCTATTGCGCAGGCAAAACGCTACCGTTGAGCTACGAGACTCACTGTGAGATGGAAATTACTCAAATCTGTCAAGGCCTTAATAATTACGGTTAGCCTGGTAGTCCATCCTGTGGATCCTAGATGTTTACTAAGGAAACCCTATCCAGTAGTTAGCTTACTGTATCCGTAATGGTGGATTCCATACGAGCATTAGGTTGGGCGGGTAAAGCGACCCAAGTGTGATCAAATTCACGGTTTACGGTGAGCCTCGTCGCTCAACAGTAGAGCGTCGGCTGCGCAGAAAGCCTTCCCTGCTGCGTGGGTTCGACTTCCGAGGCCGCGAGTAATTCACAATGGGGTCATTTATGAGTTGTGATCGAATAAGAACCATGCTTTGAAACATTTTTAAAGGGAATAGAAATGAAATGACTGAAATACTGATTCCCAAAAACGGTTAAGTATGCCTGATCAGTAAAGATAAAGAGAATTGAGATGCGAAAGTAGAAAACTGAGGCCAAATGTAAATAAACATTCGTATCTCAGTGCAGCCAGAAGGACGATCAGTTAAGTCGGGCTCTCTAACCCAGTCAAAAAACCACGCCCATTCCCCAAAGATATGCAATGCATTGAGGCAAATGCATCTGCATTAATTCCCTTAACGAAAACTCCGTGTAGGGAACGGAGTGTGGCCACGGAGACAGAAGGATAAATAGAAGGCGGAAGAGCGTTCTCTGGGACCAATATTTTATTTGCCCGAC